TTATACTCTTCCTCACCCATCTCTTTCCCAATTTAACAATTTCTGAATTAGATTATAAATGTTCATTTTTCTGCTCTTGGTATAACCAATCTCAAGCATCAAAACAGTCTTATTTTATCTCTGCAGAATCCTTAGCATAAGCAAGGACGTCTTAACTCTATAAACACGAGATTCTAGAAAGAAGGCAAGGAAGTCAGCTCCAGGTTTAAGTAAAACTCAGCTGCTTTTGGGACAAGCTCATGACAGATCTATAGGAATAAGGTGTCCAGAAATAAAGCATTTTAGATACCTCAAATAACCTGTCAAAAGTTCAAGCACAGGGCCCAGGATGCTCATGAACAGCAAAGAAAATGTAAGACTGACTCAAGAAAAGAAAAAATCCTTGGCAGTTTGGTCAACTTTAACAAAAATAAGTCAGAGCCCAGTTTGCTTTAGTTTCCAGCAAATAACCCAAGATGACTAGAATCACTGTCGTAATGAGATGGACAGGCTTAAAAGAACGCAGACTGAGAACCTGGCCTTGCTCTGTGAGCTCATCTGCATGCTGATGATCCCCATCACAGATAACAAGGAGAAATGATCCAGTATCATCAGCAATTCAAGTCTATGCATGAGGAGACCGTCCTTATTCTGTTATGAGACATATGGTACAGACTCCTACTAAAAACAAAAATCTTGATACCGAAACCTCTTAACAATTCTGTGGAACCAGAATTAGAGATGTGTACAGCAGCATCCAAGACCTCAGAATGAGTCATATCCAACAGACCATGCTTGTCCAAGACAGCATCTAGTCTCGAGGACAGAAATTTTATGATGTCCCCTTGGCATCCAAGACTAAGTAGCCTGTCTAGTGTCACAGCAGGATCTCTCATTGATGGTCCATTGGGAGAAAGCACTCAAATCAGCTGTGAGGCTGTTTTAAGGTCCAAGAAAATGAACTACATAAAGTTAATAATTGATATGGCAAGTAAAAATAAACTGCTTCCAGAGGGGAAACAATCTCATCCTCCTCCCTTAATTTGTATGTTGTGGTGTGCCCATCAACTGAGCATAGTGCCTTGGAATATAATACAAAACACTTGTATGAGCTTTCTAGCACCCTAACCTTCAGGACCTAAGGTGAGCACCTTATTCCTTTCAAGAACAACAATTCTGATTCTCTGTCCACTTGAACAGTCTCTGCAGCATAGAGGTAATCCAAATAGGGAGTGATAGAGAAGAGGAGAACCCCTTGGTTGTATTACGCCGTCTTACCACTGAAGTAGACACTGAAAGATTAAGGGTTTTGCATCAGCAATTTCTTCTGGTAGACAAAGGCACTTTTGATGAAACTCACCAATGAGAACTTAGCAGTAAATGTCATAAAAACAAAGAGAAGAACTAATCTCCACTTGATAAGCAGGTATATAATTTACCGCAATACACAACTACTACAAGTCCAAATGGTTTTCCTTTCTCCTTTCACCTCTGTCACTGCGGAAAACCTTCTATGAGATAGGAAGGAAACGGTTCTAGGTCTCCCTACTGAATCACCTTTCTGAAGCAAACTCTCTGACAGACAACACTGAAAAGGGACAGATATGGAAGTAGCAGAGCATCAAATAGGGGTGATTGTAGGGAGGACGGGGCCAGGTTCTTCTCCATGGTGGTCGGTGACAGCATGAGGGGTAACGGGTGTAAGTTGAAACACAGGAAGTTCCACCTCCATATGAGGAAGAACTTCTTTACTGTAAGGCTGACAGAGCCCTGGAACAGGCTGCCCAGAGAGGTTGTGGAGTCTCCTTCTCTGGAGATCTTCAAAACCCGCCTGGATGTCACCCTGTGCCACGTGCTGTAGGTGTCCCTGCTGGAGCAGGGAGGTTGGACTAGATGATCTCAAGAGGTCCCTTCCAACCCTAAGCATTCTGTGATTCTGTGAAATAGTCAAAACAGGTAGGTCATCTTCAGCTTGCAGCATCTGGTGTGCACAAAGACACAAATGGACTCTTGGCTGAGAAGCGGAGGGAGGCATTAAAAAGAGGAGATTAAGCTTGTTGGATTTGTTCCTTATTCTTACTGCAGGTGCTTCCAAGTTAACGATAGCTGTGCTGAGAGCTGGGAGCAGCAGATACACAAGGCAATGGAATATCTGCCATTTATTTTGATGGTCTGGCTGCCCTAGCACATCCAAGGCTGAGAAGAGCTCAAGGTTGGCTCATTTGGCCCAAGGTAAAGGACCAGTCTTAAAAATCTTTTTTTTTTAAATTTATTGGAAGCAGAAGAAATATTTTCAGGGGGCAGAGGATGTCAGGCTTGGCTGTTCCTTAAGCTGAAAAATACATCTCTTCAAAAGAAGGGTCTTAAACTGTAACATGCACTCCTCTGATCATTTCCAAATCTTAGAGGCAAGATGTCTGATATACTGCTACTTGGTCATCAAAGTTGCAGATGTAGCTGGATGCATCTAACACACAATTAAAGAAGTTGAGGAGATGCACTGGATATAACTGAGAGCAACACCTTATTCCAGAATCAGGATGCGAGACTGGCAAAGGTAACAAAACAATTAGTCTACATCCATACTCAGCCAGCAGAAGTTGGTAATTTGCCAGACAAAGATGCAAAAAACAGTTCCTTCAAACACTCCTCTGAAGATCACCATCTTTCCTGAGCTAACTGTGCACTTAGATCTCTATCCTCCAAACCACTATACAGTTTTCAGAGGTTGTTGTGACAACCTAAGTGAAGTAACTAGAGCCTGAACAAAACAGGGATGAGGGTTCTACAAGGATGTGCATAATATCAAGATGAGGCTGTATCTAGTGACAGTTTAGGCTGTATCCGTAGCACAGACCTCAAAAGAATTCAGAGCCAGCACCAAAGGAGACATGATAGCTACCTGTCAGTGCTGAAGACAGTGACAATAGGTCACCTTTTCTTTTTTTTTTTTTTTTAATGAACCATATATTAGGCTTTTCATGACAAAGAGAAGTCACTGCTGCACAGAAGTGAAAAGGCTGGTTCTATAGCTGCTTGATCCTGCATATGAAACTCAGCAGAGTAAGGATATCTTGGATATCATCTGAGAGGAAGTAAGGTGGAGAATAAATTATTTTCTGAAGCTAAATCTTATAAGGAAACAATCCCTAAAATATTTGTGGAATAAGAAGTTGGAGACTTCCAAAGGTTTTGTAGGCAATGAGAAAATATACCTGAGGTTTTAAAGCCTACAGCTGCTAAGGACTTCAATTTTGAAGAATAATTTTAAATTAAAAATATTTTTGAAGTAAAAAGTTCTACAACTGAATTTTCATTAATAATGAACCACTAACAACTTAGTGGACCAGTAGAAATAGTAGAAACATCTATCCCACAGGCCAATAGGTGAAATTTGATGATTACATATGAGACAGGATTTGAAAACAAATTCACAAGCTATCTTCTCACAAAAATCTTTGTCACTGATGTTATGTGATGAGGCACAGACAGCCAACAAATGCTGTGGAGATTCTTGAAGGACACAGCTGAAAAATGTAGAGAAAGTGATCAGGATCATAACTGTCCAGGAACTGAAAGAGAAGCCAAAGAAGTGAGAATGGAAACAGCTACATCAGAGAACTGGATTTTGAACAACTGAAGTATTTGATCTCTGCTCATGTGTGAGTGGAACAGAAGTAGCAAAATACACATTCTGTCCTATGAATTCATGCCTGGAGCATGGGGGACAGTAAAGTTAATGGGGTAAGAACATGATTTTTTCATCTTCTCAGAATTTATCTGGTCTTGAATGACAGGATGAATGCACACCCAAAGTGTGAACATGAACACAATCTTTGCAATAGAAAATACTTTTCCCATCCGACACACTTTTTTTCTTATCAGCCATTTGGGTTGATCATAATCTATGTGCAAACACATGAAAATGATCTCCTAGCACTGATCATACAGGGTAAAAATGACAGGAGACCATCAGAATAGGAAACAGATCAAACACACTGATAGAATCCAATCGATATAAACAAGAGGAAGTTCTTATGCTCCTTGAAAACCAGATCTCTTATAATCATTCCACTTATAATCATTCCAGGAGAAGTTAGAAAACACTGTGAAAGTCATACATTTTTTTCTCTTAACATGGCACCAAGAATGAGCCAAAGCTGAAGCTGCTTCTTGCACATTTAAAGGATGGGTGGATCTTCTCTCCAAAACAATTTCCAGCTGCTCATGTTGTCTAACACAACAAATTAAGTTTCACAGCATTAGGCAAATTTTAACTGGAGTGCTTCACTAAGCCACTATTGCAACTGATAGGAGCCACCTGGGCCTTAGGGTTCAAGCCTGGGTCTGAAAACATCAGCCAATTTGAAAAAGTTTATAAAGCATAAACAAACAGAAATCAAAACATAAAAGTAAGCCACGCAGAATATCAGCATCCAATTGTGAAACATAATGACTGATTTAACATCCTGTCCAATATAAAAACAAATATTTTGGGGGTGTGAATTAATAACTGAAATTATAACCAAAACAAACAAATGAAATGACTTTATTCAAACCAAACATTTCCATGGCTCTGTGCCAAAATCCAAGATGGCAACCAACAAGAATGTCTCTGGTCTTATGCTCTAATATTTTTCTCTTCCACTGGTTGCCATGTAAAGAGAGCAGAGAATCTTTGCTGTTACAAGACTAACACAAACTGAAATGGCTGATCAAATGAGATTTATGTTCAAACTTGGGCTTTAGGAAGAATGCAGACAGTCTGAGGAGCTTTGTCTTACAGAACGATGTCATGGGCAGTGATCAGAAAGAGATTTGAAGAAGGGACCCCAAGGCTCAGCAGGAGCTCTCAGAGGCAACCAGTTTACAGTTCTATCACCGGCTTCCACAGATGTTCCGATATTCTCCTTTCTTCTCATCAGATCTTCCTCAGGGTGTTATGGGGAATACGGTGGTACGAGCAGTCATTGCTGCTTTTCCCTTTGCTCCACACACTTGAAGGCAAGGCTTCGGGTTCCTCACCTGATGTTCACTGTTAGTCCTTCACTGTGAGTAGAGGCTGGAAAACAAACAAACAAACAAACACACAGAGCAAAGCGTTTGAGCCATCACAGGGCAGTATATTTTGCAAAAGACTGCTGCACTGGCCTGCAAATCTCAGAACTAGCCACCAGAACAAATCTGGTCTCCTTTAATAGAATATCTCTCTGTAGTAAGAAATGAGAGCACAGATCAGTATGACAGACCTAACTTCCTGAACTACTGCCTGAAAATGTAATCCTGGTATTCTTCTCAAGCCTAGATTGCTATTTTCACTGTTTCCCAATCTCACTCATTTCTTCACATGCTCGTTTAGTAGTTCTGCATCCCTTACCTTTTATCAGCATGCTTTTGTCTCTTTCTTTCTATGTCCATTATTCATTTGCTTGCATAGGAATCCTTAATGCCTGATTCCTAAAGATTCTGAGCATGTGGGTACAGGAAAGATGAGAGCGTAAAAAGCAGGAGGTATGTCAAAAAGCTGATCTCTGAAAGGCATGAACTGTGGATAAGAAAGAGTTTTCTTCCTCCCAATATTAAAGTGAGATTTTAATTCTACATACTGCAGCATTTTCCTACTCAGGCACATTACAGAAAAACATTAATGTCATCTTTACTTCTTTTACTTAGGAGTCCTTAGACATTCCTTTAAAAAGAAAAATCCAAAACACTTTGAAAAGAGTAAGTTTATTTTGGACAGTCTGCATCTTATGGCTAATCTACTAGGTAAAGCTTGTCCTGTACATTTAGCACATCAGCTTGCTCCTACATGTGAGTGACAGTTGTTGAGAGCTATGTTTATTAAAAATATTGCTAGATTTTTAAAAATATGCTCTCCTTGAAAGCCCAGCATAGAGCCAAACATCACAGAGCACAAAGGATCTGGAAAGATGTTTAGAGAGCAGGACTGCCAGCTGTGTCACTGCACAGAAAGTTTGGAACATGGATTAGGAACCAAACTGTCAACTATGTGTATTAAGATAGGATACCAGTCCAGAAACCTATCCCTTGGCAATCTGCTGATATTAAGGAAACAAAGGCACATGAGAAAGGCAGCCAACTTCAACCTCATCTTCCTGTTTTGAAGAGACTTTTGAGCCTTTCTTCTCCTACAGAAAGGCACAGAAGAGTTTGCCTTTTCTCACAGATTGAACTGCAATCACTTTGTATGAGTTCCTCTCGTGAGGCCACCTTGCAGACTCCATGCAGAGAGGGCCATTTCTATGTCTGCATATAAATATGTGGATTCCTACCATAGGAGCACTTGCGGCCACCGCTGCAATTCAATCTATTTCATAAACATTAATGTATACAGGTATGTGAAGTTTTACCACGTCTGAGCTAAACGTGAGTTGTTCATCTCTCCTTTCCAGCAGCTCTGGTTGACTAAGGGGAACAGAAACCTGATACTAGTCGAGAAATGTTGATTCTCTCTGGTGAAGACATTCATTGCAGTGACTAACCACATATAACAGAATGAATTTCCTTCAATTTCTGCCTGACAGGAGGTGTTAGAACAAAATATCTGCTTGTTTATCTTTCCACATATTTACATACTATTATGTCATCCATGACTGTACCTCAAAAATATTAATACTTCTGTACTAAGAACACATGGAAAGAAATCAGATTTTATAAATATGAATCTGAGTCAGGGAAATATCATAGGAGTTGTGTAAAGATATTTATGGCATATCGGCACAATAAAATTCAGTGCCATGTAGACTTTCCCAGCACAGTTTAGGTCAGATACCAGCACAGAATCTGCCCTGCTTCCAAGCATCAGGAATGAGATAGAGCAGAGCACCAGGCTGACTGACAGCACTGGTCAGGGACCTGGGCTAACACTTTTTAGAGCTAGTCTGGGCTGTTTCATCAGACCCACAGTGAGGCTGAACTGAGTCAAACCTTCTCAAACCAGTGTTAAAACCTGGAATTTCCTTTCTCCCTGAAAAGCTCTAATAATCCTAGAAACTTATATTTCTTATCCCAAAGCACAGAGAGAATTTCTAATCTTAGACTGATGCCCAGCGTTCTCTAGATAATACATAGCACAACTAAGAAAGATGATAAATGGGTAGAGCTTATTTATATCCTTGGGTGAGTGACACTAGCAAGCCAGGACAGCTGAAGGCCAACCTTTCCTCCCCCATCTTTTTGGCACAGTTTCAAGCTGGCTTGCTGGACTGGGCAAGCAAGGGAAAGCAGCAGTTCCAACTCACGAAATTCTACTTGGGAGGTGACAAATTGGGACACACAGCTGCATTCATTTGAGTGAAACCTCCCTGCATGAAAGGAGCAGTTAGTGGCCTCATTAGCAAATGCAGCTGAAGGTGTGAAAGCCTCCCCTGCCCTCCATGGCGCAGACAGGACACTGGGTGGGCTCCTCACTCCCACTGCTAATGCCCCTGTCCACCTAACAGTCTTCATGCAGCTCCCTACTCCCTGGTTTGATGTAGCACTCTCTTCTCTTTTTTTTTCATTTCCTAACTCTAGACACTTTTTAGCCTATTCACACACATTTAGGCTTCTATTTTTAGTCCCAGTATAAAATAATGCCAGATGAAAACAAAATCCATTTTGGATGAGTAGAGTCATCCGCTCTACAGGTAGCTTAATGCCAAGACGTGAGACAGAAGAATCCAAGGAATTATATAACCTCTCCCAGTCTTTGCACACCAATTTTGAATGACATTTCTAACCGAGCAAATAAATTCAGGCAGCTCACCATCATCTCACTACTGCGAACACACAAAACTCAGCTCCAGGTCAGGCCAAAATGTTAACTGCCTGAAGCCATTACTTATCCCACTTAGGAGCTTTATTTGAGTCTGTCAAAAGTGAAAGATCCTAAAATTCAAGCTGTGATCTAGTTCTTAAATAAGGAAGCCAATTTCTAGATTTTCCTTTTCTTTCCCTCCTTCCCCAGTGTTCCAGGGACTTGGAATGTACTTTCAAGAGAATGTGACTAGTAACCACAAGAAAATGCTCCTTCCTTTCATAGGCGAAAAAGGAAAAAAAAAAAAAAAAAAAAGGAAGGACTGAATGTATGAGAAGCAGGCTGTTCTCCCAAGGTAAGGAATACACGTAATTTCTGATCATTAGTGAACACAACCCTCAGTTCTAGCTAAGAGGTGAGGGGCGAGTTTGACTTTATCCCGTGAATATTGTTTTAGAAAGGGTTAGAACTCTGCTTTTTGGAAAAGAGTTTTATACTCTGCTGAGATTTAATGAGACTTCCACACAGTTTTTTGGTAAGTGGATAAACTCAGACAAATATAAGCATGTCCTGCTGTTAATTTTAAGAGATGCACCTTGATGGTGTCTGTATTCTAAAGTTATTTGATAAAGACATCAATATTATCTGCTGATTGTTAGTCATACAGTAATAGTTTCTCCCTTCTCCAAAGGATACTAAGAAATGTGTTAAGGAGAAGATCTTTCTTTTCCTTTTTTCTCTTTTGGTCCATTTGGTGCTATAGGCTAATCTGAACTGGAATAATTATCCATTAACAGCTATACCAGGAACTTTTCCGCCCGTTTACCCTCTTTATGCAACTATAGGTGTCAGTAGGAGAGACAAAGAAGTTCCTGGATGTTTTTGTGATACTTGAAAGAACAATGGTTTTAGAAAGATAATTCCAAGAACAAATGTGAAACCAAACACCCTTCATTATAACTGATTCTTTGCCCTCCCTAAAAGGGATACACAATAGCAGGATTCACCTCATCTTTACCCACATCAAATTCCACTTCCTTCCAAAGTATGATGAAATGGACTGTGTTTCTCAACAACCCTTTCTCTGCAGGGAGCCAGCACTACAGGAGGGCAGAGAGGCTGACAGAATGTTATTACCACTGTTGCCAAAGGCTGTATTGCAGGGCAAAAGGCTGCGCTGGAAAGGTTTGATCCAGTGCTGGAATTCAGACCACTCTTCCCTTTCAGCAACTCGCAGAGCGCTTCTCAGCCAGACAGGATGGTCTCGAAAGATTTATGGGGAAAAGCTCATCATTATTCTATTCCTAGATTAGGATAAGCAATGAGGTGACATCAAAAGTTGCTCTTTCATGTCATAAGATACTTCATATGCCTGAGTAGCCAAAGGAAGCTGAGGCGGAGGTTACTCGAGGTGCTCATTTGAAGGTCACCTTTCAAAGTCAAGGCCACTTGTGCAGTCAGTCACAGCAATGAGAGGAGACCAGAAGGGTAGCAAAAGAAGAGATGAATTAACAGGATTAGTGGGTGGGAGGAGGCACAGTGCGGAAACTCGAGGGATTTCTGCTTCCAGCTGCTCCTGATGAAGGATTCGGAAAGATACTGTCAGTGTAGTGAGACCGGCTGAAACCGTAGCCAAGGTTCCTCTAGGGAATGTGGTATCAACATAAAAATAAATACACTGGTGCTCAACACCTACTGCCTCCTGAGGCTGCAGAGAGCCTGGCAGGAGCTGAGGAAGCCTGGCTGGGATTGGGCAGCTGGGAATTCCACTCTAGAGCAACAAATGGCTGGGGTCTGACACCAGCCATGCGAGAAGCTGTGCTATGCATCCCATTGCTCCAAGAAAACCAGGAGAGGATGGCTGATAAAAGAGTCTCCAAATTCAGGGCATTTTCTGTTGTTAGATCTAACAAATAATATTGAATTTCTTTCCTTGAATTTACGTAAGAGTCTGGATTTCAAGAATAATACTTATCTAAGCAGCTCTCTACCTGACCACAGCTGCTTGTACATTCATCTTACTTACTGGACATTCAGGCACTTCTCCCCACGCAAGCCTAAAGGGAATCACTAGAAAACTAGAGAGCAGTAGCCTGCATTCTGTACACATGAGGTCAAAACAGCTCATGAATCCTAATATTCTTCAACTAGTTTCCTGGCAGTTCAGAATCCAATTCTAAGCCTTCACAGATGATGATACACTTTAATTTCAGAGTCTCATACCTTAAGGAGCTGGCATTCAGAAAGATAGGGGAGCCAGATGAATGTCTCAAGTAAGCAGACAACAGTGCATCAACCTGTAACTAACTCAGGTTAAGTACTTGGGAATCACAGGCAATAAAAACAGCTGCATACCTAGCATAAGAAGTTTCCTCACTGGCTCACTAGGACTCACAAGGACTGAGTTTTGACTCTAATCTTACGCAAAAAGTACAAAACAAAACAAAAAAAAAAAAGGAATTTTGCATTCATTCTTTAGGCCAGATCAGATAGAAATAAGAATTTACATGAATTAGGAGCCTTCACTGTGCTCAGACACTGATAGCACATTACTAACTTTTAGCTTCCCAAATCAGTAACTCCAACGTTCTTTTGTCCCCACCACACTTAGCTGAAAAGCCATGTGGACTTGAGTGGACTTGAGCAACATAAACATTAGCAGAACAAAACTGCATCGCTGAGAATGAAAAGGTGAAAGTCCTGTTGAGTCTGGAGCCAGGCAACAGTCATGCACAGCTTTAATCATGATTCATAGTTGTCTGTAATTATATAGGTTATTAGCACATTATTATATTTTTGCCATGGGAAAATAGAACCCTGGAGGAAGTCTTTGTTCTGAGCTTAAAAACAAAAAAAAAAAAAAAAGAAAAAAAAGAAATAAGAATCTCACAAACACTCAAGAATTTGGCAGCAGAGGAAAGAGAGAAACACAACGAGATATATTTCTCTCATAGTTGCTGTAACTCCTACAAATCAAATCAGCTGAGGTCATTACCTTGTGCATCCACTCCACAACTACACTGAAGGGTTAACTAAACTTTCAGACTGTTCCTGCACCCCAGCTCTTGCTGCGGATAAGATTCAAGCTCAGGAAAAGAAAAGCTGTGGGGCTACACTCTTCTGTTTTCATAGAAGTTCCCTTTGTTCCCTTTTCTCTCTAAAACCCACTTTTGTTGGGATTCATGAATAAAACGATGAACAAATATAATAAATATCTAAGCATGTGGCCTTCTAATTAGCTATAGAACTTCCTTGGTGTTTCTTGCCAGTTGTTCAAAAGTTAAATTCTGGTGGAAGCCAGACACATTTTTAACACAGAACTTAATGTTCTTAAGAAAAATAATTTATATATTATTCACTAAATGCTACTACAAAGGAACAAAAAAAAATCCAAGATGGAGCAACTGTTTCCATATGCTTAACATTGCTAATACATAGGAGGAAAAAAAAAAAAAAAACACCCACCTACCAGCCCTTAGGTTTCTTCCTGAACCATCTGAGTACACATATCAAACAGTTTCATAAAGCCAGCCTAGAATACTTAGCCTGGAAAACAGAGGATTTCTCATCATTGTATTTCACTAATACTAAATGAATTGTTAAATTCCATGAAACAGAGAGCAATCAGAGTAACACGCTGGGAGACCCTCAACATACCTGAGGATAAAACAGCAATGTGACGACTGTCCTAGAGCTTGTATTTCAAAACACACACGCGAGTACACTAGTGACTGTGGGTGCTCTATATCAGTGCAAAATGGCATCAGAAGTATTTTGAATGCTGTCTATAGCTAGCAATTCTTAGTGATTTTTTACTAGAATATAACTTGTTAAATTCAAAATTCCAAGAGTTGAGGGGAAGGTCTGTTCACTACACATAAATCCCAAGTGACAGCTTACAGATTTAGAATTTTAAACCTTCCAGTCTGTAGGTACTCATGCCTCACTCATGCTTATGTCCTGGGCTACTTGGCAGAAATGCTGACTTCTACTCTATATGTACTTTCACCTCAAGAGATGTGTCCACAAGAGTAGATCTCTTCAGCCTTACCTACAACCTGTACTCTCCACAGCTGCAGTACCAACCACCAGCGAACTGCCCCCTGAACAATCTGGTTAAAAGCTTCCATACTGCCCAACTCTCTCTTCCTTGGGGGATCGCCCTCGCTGAGCCAACACTCATCCAAAAGCACCTGCTAGAACACAAAACGGTGAGTGATGAGGTACAGCTCCAAAGTCTGTCTTGATATAGCTCCACGATGCCCGATACACAAACAGAACTTCCCACTGACTTTAGTAATCATCATACAAGGTCAGGCCAAACTGACACACAAAGGCCCTGTCACACAAGGGCCCAGTCCAACGGGCTGCAAAGCCAGACCTATGCTGGTCGAATGACTTCCTCATTCTTTCAGGATGTTTTCTTCACAAAAGTCGCCTAATACAATGGTATGAAATGGTTGTGCCAACTCGCAAATTAATTGTCCCGCAGGCTCCTATTAAAGGAAGGTCCATTCAATCTTCTCAGACATTTTTGATCATTTATGTTTATTTTTATGCAGAGGTTCTGCCTGGTTCCTCTTTTAGCTCCACAACTTTGTAAGAATTGAAAGCTAGCAGGTCATCAAATTTATTCTGTAATTTGCTTTATGAATTGTATTTTCAGTCTCTCTATTGCTATGGAGGATACTAAATACACATGAAAGTAATCCCAAACAAGCTGTTGATGAGGGAAATCAGGGCTGATTGTAAGCAATCAATAGAGAGAGTGAAGAAGAAAAACAGCTGTTCCTGCAGGAAGGACCAGAGCAGTCTCTGAGACTCACAGACTGGGCACAGCATTCTCTGACGCATACCAGTGGCTTGGTGCAAAGCTGAAGAAAATATCATTCCCCACCATTTTCCAAGAACAAACACTGTTTTGCTCTACTTAGTCTAATCACTGCAGTATTTAGCACTATTCCCGGAGTTATATGCGTCTCCCAAGGACAAGAAAGCTTTCTGTGACCTATCTTCATGACGCAGCTTCTGTTAGCCTACCCTTAGTCAAAGTAAGGTCCTAGTTAAGCCCTGCCATTCTCAGTTAAATGCAGGTTCAATGCCTTTTTTCCCCCTTTTTTTTTCCTCTTCAAATGCAGAGATTGTAGCCTAGTGCAGCTAGCACAGTACTACTGAAAAAAATAAAAATCAGCCAAATAAACAAAAAGACCAAGAAAACATGAGGTAAAGTTCGCAGTCCTCACAGGATGCTAGATACTCCTGGAGAGAGTGATGATCCTCATGTTTGTTATTTAGGCTGTATTTTTGTTGCAGCACTTGTTATTGCTCTCTGTCACCAATATTATTAACAATCATACTTGCACAGAAACATACTTGCACAGAAACAGAGAAAGATAAAAAAAAAAAAGAACCCTCCTATTGCCTACAGTTACCGCAAACACATGTATGAAAGAGTATTCAGAGCAGAGGCAGAGTCTCCTGCAGAGGTTAGAAGTTACAGGGTAGAGAGCTCCAAAAACTGTGAGAAAGAAGGCATACAAATACCTCCATGTAAATCCACTCAGCAAAGCACTTAGATCATATACTGAGACCAATATTTTTGCATTTACGGATAAATCTGTGTGTAACCTGGCTTTACGAACCGTACTAAAAACTCAGCTTAGGCTACACAGCAGACCAGAACTTTTCCCTCAACTGTACATATACTAACATTTTGACATTATTTTATTTATTTTGATAATTCCATTATACTCCACCCCTACATTTCATGTTCCAATGCGCTGTAGGGTCTTTTTTATTGACCATGGTTATTTACCCTATAAAATCTCTAGTAGGATATCTGGAGTTTTTGGCAGGTGGTAAAGCGTGGGTGGCAATTTGAAACTGTACAATATGTGCATTAGCCAAATGTTTGTGCCAGAGGATCAGCAATAAAATCATTGACAGTAATACTGCAAATGTCATCTTTAAGTTTCAGAGCTAAATAACCAAGAGATGAACAGGGCAGTTCACCTCTATGCAAACTTTTCTTTCAGCCTTTGAAACCACAAACAGAAATCACTGTATTAGTGATACCCAAGTCGTGTTTTCAGGGTTTTCACAGCAAAATTAAAGGTCAGAAACATAATTTTTTCAAAGCATTCTAGAGTGTAACCTGGCTATATATTCCATTACAGCACCACCACAAATTACCCTAAGGCATGGGCAAAATACCATGCATGTTCATCAAGACCAAAATCTACCAAAAATGGTTCTGCATCAATGAAAAATGGGTTGGCTCCCCATTTCCTGAGATTCTATCAGCAGAGACTTTCTGGATAAAGTAATCACTAGGGAAGGATAAAGATTTGATTCTATAGGTCTCAGTGATTTTCCTTTGAGAGCTTGATTCACAGGTCTCAATTAAATCTTTCTGAAGGGGCTTTTCTTGCTTTTCTGCAAGAGCAAAGAAAAATGTAAGGAATGCCCTGGCCCTTTATAAAAGGCCAAACTCAAACAACAGAGCTTCTTTGAGTCAAAGCCCAAAGCAAAGTGGGACCATTTTAGCCAAGTTTTTCTTTTTCCCAGCCATAGTTTTAGGGATCTTCCTCTTCCAACTCTATGAAGTTCAGGCTTTGCTCCCTTGATTTTAATCTTTTTACTCTCAGGAGGAATAAATTCCCTAGGCAGATGATCCCAGCCTGTTACCTAGAAACCACTACACGCAGAGCAAGCAGCTGCCCTTCTTTCTTTGCTGAAAAGTTAGTTTTTAATCTGTCAGCTCTTAAAAGAGACGAAAGCACCCCAGCGTCACCCTCTTCCCCCCTTCAGGACTGGCACTCACCTGTGGAATTTGTCCCTGGCTCACAGGATGCAGCACTGTTAAGGCTGTTCTGGAATCCGTTTAGCTGCCTTTCAGTGGAGGTCCCCCTGACAGGCAAAAGCATCAGATTAGACAGAGATGAGAAGGGAAATACCAAGGAAGAATAGAGGTCTTGAACAAAAAATAGTGTTCTAGTTTACATAATCACACTAGGACTGTAGCTATGAAGCTGTGTGTGACTGTAGCTTAAAACAGGCAGCGACAGGAAACCTCTCCAAGAAGGCAGTGGGAGACAGATGAGCACCCAGCCACCACCAAGACTTCACTGCCCCTAAAGCACTTAGTTGTTCCATCTACCTGGGAAGCTGATTTTAAAGGATGAGACGGGAAATTACATTGGACTGCCAAAGCACAACACAACCTGTAATGCTGTTATCACCTTACTCCAGCCGTTTGAGGCACAGTGTTTAAGCAACACATAGAACAGAATTGCACACAAGAGGGCTGGTAAAACACGCTATGTTGAAATGTAAGCATTGTACTTGCACCTCTTCTCAGCAGATGCAACTCACTGAGGCAAGATTTCTTAATCATTTTAAGCATTGAGGAAGTCTTTCCATCTCCAATAATGCAGTGCCAGTTCTCAAACACGTATATGAGGAAAGACTAAGCGAGTTGGGCCTGTTTAGTCTGGAGAAAAGAAGGCTGAGAGGAGATTTGATTAACATGTTCAAGTATCTGAGGGGTGACTGAAGGGAGGATGGGGCCAGGCTCTTCTCCACCATGGCTGGTGACAGCACGAAGGGTAATGGGTGTAAACTGAAACACAGGAAGTTCCATCTCCATGTGAGGAAGAACTTCTTTGCTGTGAGGATGACAGAGCCCTGGCACAGGCTGTCCAGAGAGGTTGTGGAGTCTCCTTCTCTGGAGATCTTTAGACCCGCCTGGATGCCACCCTCTGCCACGTGCTCTGCTGGAGCAGGGGGGTTGGACTAGATGATCTCTAGAGGTCTCTTCCAACCTTAAGCATTCTGTGATTCTGTGATTTCACGAAAATGCACCTACATTTAGCTCAACGTTTGAGAGAGAGTAAAACTATTTCCTGTTGGGTTCAACTAAGCTTCCTGTGTTAGAGAGATTGATTACTAAAACACGACCGTCTCTTCCTGAGTAAAAGTGGGCTTATACACAAGAAGAGTCAAAACAGGATCTATTCGGTTCTCAAAACCTATAGAATCCATCCATTTATTTTTGGTTTGCACTCTCTTCCCTCAACCTTCTTGCTGCTCTTCCAGCCTAGCACTGTTCTGAGCGCTCCAGCCTTCTGCACTTAGCACTCTTGCTTCTCTGCCACAATCCTTATTCCTTCCCACATTCAACTCTGCTACGTTATGCAGAGTTACTCACCATTCTTCCCCCCAGGAGAGCCCTGCAACCGTCAATCCCCACATGAGGCCTTAATGACTAACTGCCCCAGGAACACATGCGCAGTTTCTATAATGTTGTCTAAAACTTTTTGCCTTCAAATTTCAAAGTTTTCAAGTTGCCAGTAAACCAGGTGCTCCTGGCAGTTAAAAGGCCAGTGACAGACTCATATTTTCTTGCAGTTGGAATTCAGTGTAATCAGTTGAAGTCCAGATGGGAAGGGGTAGGAGTTTCAATATCAGAAATATTTGCAAAACATAGCCCCTTACCTCAATGCAATCATAGTTTGAAATGCTATTGCCAAATGATGTATTTATTTCTATGTGCATTGCCTCTTAGAGAGAATTTTGGATTTGTACTTATGGTTTCTTTTGCTGATGATACTGGTCCACCTGGGAGTTGAGAATCCAGATGTACTCTCTAAGCCTCTTTAAAATTACATGTTCATATTTAGCTTGCCTTTGCTGTTAATGTTGTATGATTTAGGGTCATCTTTCTCTAGGTAAAATGCAATATTAATGGTTGAAAACATCATCAGGAATATCACCAAGTACAACAAAAAGTTAACAGGGAAGAGTCACACTTCTACCTTTAAGTTTGCTTTACCTCTAGAGAATCGCTTTCCTTCTACAGACTGGTCTTCATATTCTCTAGCCTCACTTCATCTTGACTGTTATGGTTTCAACTGTCACCTCCACACAGCTTATTCTCAGATCTACCTCTGTGTCCTTTCACCACTCTTAAGTTCACCCCTTAAGTTCTCTCTGTCCTAATAGAAATTCTAGTGCCAGAACATGCTCACTGCTTAAACACAGTTAATCTCTCCACTTTCTTGCTCCTTGGTTTGGCTAAAATCCCACTGTCTTTCTCATTTCTCTGATTTTAATGAGTCATTTTTGCTTCCATTTCTCCAATTCAAACCATTGCTACATTGTCCATTTCTTCCTCTTTAATACTCAAAAAAGCAGACTTTCCCCACTGCCCATTCCAGTCAAAAATCTGTCATTGGCCTTTTTTTTTTTCAGTCTCTTGTACATAATCTGTCCTTGAAATTCGCACAGCCTTTCTTCATTTAGGCATTAAACTCCAAGCTGCCCAACCTCAGGCTGCAAATTTGGAGGATGTTTTTGATGCATAGATGAAAGACAAATCATATTTTCCTGGCTACACTTTGCATACCTTTATAGCAATAATCAAGTTGTTTAGGATGCTATGAATGAATCTAGTGGGCCAGGAAGAACAGAAATGATGCTGACAAATTCACGTCACGCAAAGCCTGAGTTTGACAGGAGGACAGCAACAGATGTGAAGAGCAGAGCCAGGGAGGCTTGTTGTTCTTGGACAGGCTATCTCTGCATGTGTATCAGCTGAGGCTAGACAGGGGCTAAGAGCTTCAGGCCTCATAAGCACAGCTGTATCAGGGTGTTAAATCAACCTACCTCTCCTAGATGCATTCCTATTTCTGCCCAAAATGTCCAAGGGTTGGGCAACCTGATTAACCCAGATGATCAGGAGCTAAAAAGCAGGCATGCCTCAGTACAGCAGTAGCAAAATGTGAAACGGGTCCCATTAACAAGGACCTTCTTTCTCTCCTGCTGCCTGTCCTCCTCACACCGGGCCCTCGGCTTGCGTGGAAGTGAGCTTGCTCGCTCACTTGAGACCCTTCACACATGCCACTGACTAACCATGCATGGAAAAGACAGGAAACAAAGCAGAACCACAGCATTTTACAGGGCCATCACTGTGGTCATTCCTCTACTTTTGCCATAGTTGCCAGGCTGGGCCGGCCTGTCCTAAACCTTAGGGCCAGCCTAAAACCAGCTGGCTGCTCCCACTTCTGACTGCAGTCAGGACATCACCCAGCTGTGGGATGGACTTTCTGAACCTTGCGGAAACACACCATCTCTACCTTATTTCTGTACTGGTTACAACAGAGCAGAACTTTGGGTTGTCTACTGCTGGTGCCATGCAAAGCAAATAGACTAAAGAACAACAAGGTGGAAAGATTTTGTGTCAAGGTGTTGTGACTTCCCAAGGGAGTACTAAAAAGCTTCTGGAATAGAGAAGCTGGAATAATATTTACACCAAAGTTTAGTAGATGAAGTTATGGCACGTTGAACAACATTCTTGATAGTTTCTGATGTTCCAGCCTACTGCTGGAAAACTCAGTGATCTTCCTGGGATCTCTCACTTATAACATCTTGATTTGAGTGCTTGTTTTTTTTTCTCCTAGGTATTTCCTCTGTTTGTACATAGTGGCCTAGCATCAATGGCTGAATTTTTCCAAAAAGGTTTCTTTGACCGACAGTTCGGTTCACACCTTGCTTGATGCTGTCACAGCTCTTACCTTAGAGAGCAGTTCTCTAAAAAGTTGCCATAGGAATAATAAGTAGAAATTTTTGCACTAGTGTGACTTAGTCATTCTTAGAAGGAGAAAGATTTTCTTTTTATCTACCATCTGAACAAATATACTCTGGCTTCTGACCGTAGAACTAATACATATTTCTGCTTTGCATGCTGTAATCTGTAATATGAAGGTTCTGTATACCAAATGCTGCTTCCATGGACATGTGCTTCATTTTACACAAATGCTATTTCTGTGACCTCTGTCTCAAAATTCTGCTTTCAGTTATCAATAAGTCTCTTCAGGAATAGACAATATAGCTTAGAAACCTGCAAACACTAATGGTGATATGCACACTGCAAAGGACCTTCTTGGAAGGAAAGAACAACTTGTGGGAGTAGCTGTTCTTTTTACTTGTAATCTGAGCATATTTAATCAAAAAATTGAGCCCCATTAAAGCATTTTATGGGGTTATATTTCTGAATAGAGTATATATTAAACCATTCCTCCCAGTTGCTGTAGTCTTTTTCCACACCTTAACGTGGGCCCTGGTTTTCCGTACTGGTAGCTTAAGGAAGGAGTCTGCTTTGGACACAATCCATTACAAAGTCAATCTACCACCTTTTACAAGTTGAAAGTCAGAAAGCAAGACAGAATGGGAATAGAAAAGACTGAATTTTCTGGCTGTTCCATTACACTTTTTCCTTTATGTTCTAACCAGGGAAGTGTCCAAGTTACAAGATAGTTTTGGAATTAGTCAGTAATGTTCATCTTTAGCATCTCATTCTGTTTGTAGTTGATTTTCTCTTATTCTTTCCCTCCTCTTCTGGAGGCCACGTGTGCTGGCTGGGAGAGAAATGATAATGCATGCAAGGAAGAGGTCAAAAAGACAAAGTTGCTTCTCATTTGTCTTCCCAGTCCAGTCTCTGGAGAAATTCTACAAACAGGTTTGAAAAGATTTTTATTAAGATGTTCAACAACAGCCAGGAGGTGCAAAGCACAAACAGAGAAATAAGTCTTGTTTTACAGGAATTTAAGTAAAAAATGAGACACAAGAGTTGTAGCATCAGAATGAACAAAATGGGATTAGTTTCAGTGAGTGCAAGTCTTGTGGAAATAATATATAGCACTGCAACCTTCTTTGAGGAAAGAGGTCAGGAAAGCTGCCAAAATGAATTAATGGTGAGCACGGGTGGCAAATCAAAGATGACCTGACAGAGAAATGAAGCAGCCAAAAAGCCAAAATTTTGTTAAGATTTTATGGCGAGAGATAGTTACCATGTCATAACCTAAGGATACAGCAGTCCCACACTGAAAAATTACAATTCTGGGTGCTACAATGCAAGCACTCTGACAAACTGAAGAAAATACAGTAAATTCAAGAGATAAGTAGGACTTGGCAGGTGGAACTGCTATCTGAGGTTAACAAAACCTCAACAAGTCTAAGCAATACTAGGAATCTCCAAGAAGCAGAAGAATATTCAAAAGATGGAAAGTATTTGCAAAAGAAACTGTTTAGAGTGGTTCAGGATGGAGGAACAAGATATAATAGATGAAACAAAGGATAAATCCAGACTGCTCATGAGGAGCAGCTTTCTAATAATGAAGTTGTTTAGAATTTCATGGTGGGATTTCTGCCAATGGAGTCTTTTTTAAAAGCAGACTACACACAGTGACAGAAGGTACAGAATAATCAGGGATGGTAAAGAACAAGCTGGAGCATGCAAGGCATCTTTTTCATCTCTATGTTCCTTTGAGGCAGAGGGTTCTCTCCATTTACTCTCCTCTGTTGAGGCATCTCTGTTTTTTTTCCCCCCGACAACAATAGATGGATTAAATTAGATTGAGACACAGTAGTTTTCAAGCGATCAGCTCTCAATATGCTGGAAGAATAGCTGGGCACTGCTGTTTTCCATGTAAGTGAAAAAATGTTACTGCAGGATCCCATGAATGGCAAGAATGGGTTTGGAGCCTTGTGCTAGAGTCTGAAAGGCAACTTGGAAAGTATTTCCGGAGTGGCTCCTTGCAGCCTTCAATACTTGGATTGGGTTTCTGAAATTCTGAAGGAATCTTTTGCTTTTTTTCCCCCTTCTGTGCATTTTTGGTGCTGAACTTTTTCCGGTTTTCCCACACTCCTGCCTGTCACAGAGCAGAAACCACAAAAATGCAGCAAAGTAAAGTCTGTCCAAGGAGCTGCAATTCCATCTCGCAAGGATAAACATTTGTTCTGCCAAGAAGTGAGCACAGCACACCGGCATCTTCAAATACATATCCCTGCTGCCCAGCAGAGAAACCCACTGACACAGCCTGTCACCTGCACTAACATGAGGCACCAGCATAAAAGAAATCAGAGAGCAAATCCACTAACACATACCTCCCAGACCTGATGCTCAAATCTGCACATGCTGTGTTGACAAAGTCTACGAACATCATTTTCTTTCTGAATAGTTATGGGGATGTTACTGTGCTATCTATTAAGATAATAAAATTACAGGCAGGAAACATGAACACAGTTCTGCCCAAGCTCTTTAAATCTGCCTTGCAGTTACAGATTCAAACTCCACACACTGACTGTGCCCATCTTCACAAGGTGTCTTTCTTCAGTAATCTTTTATTAAGAGCCCTCTCTTCTAATCAAGGTAAGGGGAGAATACAGAATCAGGGAACCTGACAGAAACCTCTTTACAAAAATCTTTACAAATCTTCTGGTTGTAGAGTATAACAGAGAATGCAATTTTCCCCTTCAGCATTCAGACATGAAGTAACGTTGATATATAAGGAAAAACCTGACGAAAGATTTAAATGACGAAATTGCTTTAGACCAAGAGGAGACATGAAGGAGCTACTCGTGAAAGACAAATATTAAAAAAAAAAGAAAACAGAGCTGTTGTTCACATTCTCTTATAATGCACAAAGGACATTTCAAGAAATGGAAAGTAAACAAACTTAAATTAAGCATCACAGCACTTCATGAAGCACACTTTGTTTTGTTTTTAAACATAACACACCAAACCAATCTAACCTAGCAAGACAAAAACCATAAAAGTTAAGATAAGGTAATGAGGAAAGTTATCATTAAATTAGGCAGAATATAAACACTTTAAATGAAATAAACACTTATGCTTGAAGGCATAAGTTGATCATTATGTGTTGGGTTTATAGGGAAACTTGGTTTAAGGGCAGATTAGCATGTTAAGGCTATATATTTTTTTTGGCAGCTTCTTTTGCCTCTCCAAATTCTAGCCCCCATCAAAGATTAAACATGGGGGAGCAACTCAAGCGTCTAAACACAGGTGTCAAGCACCAGACTGCATGCTGTCAGGTATTTGAGACATCTGCCGGGGACTGGCAGATAAAACACAGGACCTACAGGAGACTAAGCTTATCTGAAGCAGCAGCTGGAGGTCAGGTGGAACACCCCTGGGCAATTAAAATAACATTAATAACTTATATTTAGATAACTGAATCCCACTCTGGATAAAACACTGCTCTGATTCAACCTAGCAGTTTCTATGTCCTTATGTTTGTATGATGTTAGAGTCCTGCTTATCTTAGTGCTACAAAACATGGAGCTTCACAGGGGCATATACCTACTGCAGTTTACAGCAGTGAAGGTGTTCTGAGATTTGATCTTGGATAGCGCAGGCAGAGTCACGCACAGACCAGTTCTTTCCCCAGATTCCTTTTGTGGGCAGTAAGTGTCAACTCTGTTGTGGATGGGGGGGAGAAAACACTTACTTGGAAATCCTTTGCGCGGCAGCCTTTCTGACCACTGCCTGCCTGTGGTTTGCTGGAGGCTTTGGAACCAGCTGAGAAGGGGCACTCTGAGATGGCATCACTTTGTGCACACTGGCTGCCTTCTGGACACTGGAAGCGGCACTTGATGTCTTGCGGGCAGCAGAGCCAGCTGACATAGGTATATGGCTGGCGCTGGACTGCGGGTGATTGGCAAACAGAACCTGGCACAGAAAGAAAACAAAAATACCACAGTGTCTCTGAATATCATTGAGAGCGCTGATGGAGTGGGTGACAGTTCTGTAAGGGAAAACATCTGCCTGGTGAAGTGGACCCCCATGGCTGCCAAGCACAAACTAAAAGAGTTTAGTGATCAAGCCAGTTAAGTAGTTTTAAAAATGAATTTTACACCCTTGCACAATGGGATTAGCTTATAAGAAGGCAAACAAGCTCATTACTGCCACAGAATGATACGGTTCTGGGAGACGAGGGGGAGACGTGGAAAAACACAAACATACATACAAGATCATCATCCCCAACCACATCACAGAATGGGTCCCATCCTCAGAAAAAAATATATCTTTTGTAACTTTTATCCATTTTCTGTATCTACTTTGCCAAGGTATTTTTTGTGTGGGAGTCAGGATCGAGACAAAGTCACGGGAAAGAAAAATGTTATAGGAATATCTTACAATGCCAGTTCTTCGGTCCGGCTGTCTGGGGGCTCAGAATATCAGGAGGTTCTCAGACACCCTCCCTGAATAGGGAACTGTAGGTTGGCAACCGACAGAAAAGAAATCCCAGTAATATCACAGAACAAAAAACTGTTCCTATTTCTGAAGCAGGTGGTGGAGGGGGGGAAGTACACTGGGGATTTGATAAAAGGACTAAAACAATCTGCATTTTATGAGACACTAGAGAAGTCAGGAATGGAGCTGGCAAGGGAGTGAGAAATGGTTTCCTATGTGAGCTCTGCAAAACACTCAAGCCTATAAAGGACCAACTTGCTCAGAGTTCTGTCTTGTCTTTCCTCAAATTCAGGCAGATTCCCAGGGCAAAGAGGCACTGGCAGCTACTGTAACTGTGCAGCTTGTGCAGTTGCATGGCTAGAGAGCAATGACAGCAGAGGAATAGCTGAGCACCCACCAGTCACCTCCAAATGACCCTGGGAACAGAGCACTTCACTGCAGTTGTTCTGAGTTTCTTATTTGGCGAAAAACACACAAAGCTGCTGCAGAGAGTGGGCTCCTGGCTCCACGGAAAACCACAGCCCGTGGGCTGGCCGAGTCTCGCACAGAGACAGGAAAAGCCCCTCTCCCCCGCAATTCTCTGGCAAACGGAGGGCACTGGTGTGTGGGAAGGCGTTTCTGACAGGCAGCGCTCGAGAGAAAAGGAAGCACAGGAGCCAAAACAGGCCTGTTTCCTAACTGCAGTGCACTGACAAGATCCCCTTGAGCTCTCCAGTCCTTACTAACCTCTCCCTGCCCTGGAGCTCTGCCTTGCTTCCAGCTTTCAGATTTAGAATAACTAGCTGATATAAATGCAGAGCTCTGGAGTAAAACGGGGGGAAAAAAAAGCCTAAAGCAAAACTTGGTTTAGTCTGTCGCACTGTAGAGTTTGATACATTATGCGGTTAGGAGATGCCTCGATGCTCCTCTTCTTACTCACAAATCACTTTCACCATGCTGTGTTTGATAATATGGATACTACTTCTCTACGGTTCTTTTTTTCTTGTTAATAACATCGCTAGGACGCAGGAGTCTGAAAGCATTCAGTCCTAATCCCTCCCCTCGACATGCGTGGGCACAAGGTCTGTCACCCGGAACAGGGGACAAACACAGATTCTTGTAACAAAGTCCAATCAGCAAAAGCTGGCTGAGACCTTCCTAAAGAAAGGCCGTAGTTGTTTTTCTTGGGGATAACACACTTCCAAAAAGGCCTTTGTCTCCATGCTGTGCTGAGATCCTGGCTGCCTTCCAGGCAAGGATGGGGAGACTGGAAGCTGACACGGACCACGGCTTCTGGATTCAGCTACAAAGCGCACTGCCCTGCTGTGAGCTCCGGGGGGACAGGACAGGAAACCAGGAGAAGCTACTGTGCAAATAAAAAGGGCAGCTGGGGAGAGCAGAGCCTGACCACACAAAGGAACGTCTGCAAAGGGATTTCAGGACATCCGAGAAAGCCCTCGACACTCAGGATCCTGTAGCTCCAGATCTAGGGGGAGCAGAAGCCCGGAGACAGAGGCAGTTCTGGAGCAGTTACTGGCCAACAACTATTAGTACTGCAAGGCAATAATTTGTAAGCAATCTTGCCTGACAGGCAGGCTGAACTCAGCACGGAGGAGGTGTGCTTTTCTGACAGGTTCTACAGACCTCAAAAATACTTAGAATTACTATTTTTTTTTCTTTTTTTTTTAAAGCTAAAAAAACATGTAAAATTCTCTTGCATCATTGTCCTTGGAGGTAGGAGCATTTGCAAAAAGACAATATTAAACCTGTTTTGCAGGCAGAGAATCTTAGGCCCTGACACAAAGTAAGGTGATCTTCCCAAGCCACAGACTGAGGCAATATTAAAACTCAGGAAAGATCTTGACTTCACCCTTAGG